AAATGAGGCAGAAAGTCAGATCAGCAACCTGGGACTTTGGTCACAATTTTCGTGATGCCATTATGCTTCCAATATCTTCCCAGGCGGTAGTACCTCCCTGTTTGATAGCTGCTTATTATTTATCAATCTGTGTGTATTTTTTATTTATTTTTTATTATTTATCTTTTTTTTTAAGGGAATAGTCCACCTGGGCACAGGTCAACGATCCACAACGGGGCCTGGGGGGCGAAAAAATAAGAGTAAAAAGAAATTAAAAATATAAAAGAACACGACCATATTAATCTACAGTACACCACTAAGATGCCGGAAAACCAGCTTTTTAAAGTGAGACAGATTGTAAGAGTATGGAAACACAGAAGAAGGCAGAGCATTCCACAGTTTGGCTGTGTGAGGAAAGAAGGATGTACTGTAACTGGTTATTCTAGTGTGGCCGACAGCCACAGAGAAAGTGTGGGCACCGCAGGCAAGACGAGTGTTACGAGCCCACGGCCTTGCTGGCGGTACACAGGTTGACAAATCCACCTAACATTGCCCGTTAAAGTACCTGTAAACGAGAGAGAGTGAAGCAACATTACGGCGAAGAGAAAGGGAAGAGAGATTGTCGACTAAAGGAGGAGAGTTAATAAGACGAAATGCCTTTGATTCCACCCTATCTAATAGTTGGACAGAAGAAGAGCCACCCCAGATATGAGAACATTACTCCAAGTTAGGACGAATGAATCCCTTATATACTTGAAGCAACTGCTCAGGAGAGAAGTAGCTGCAGCATCTGTACAGTATTCCCAGCTTTCGGGAGGCAGCTTTAGCTATGTTGAGGATGTGTGGCTTCTCTAACAGTACTTGGAGTACTGCTCTCATATCTGGGTTGGCTCTTCTTCTGTCCAACTATTAGATAGGGTGGAATCAAAGGCATTTCGTCTTATTAACTCTCCTCCTTTAGTCGACAATCTCTCTCCCCTTTCTCTTCGCCGTAATATTGCTTCACTCTCTCTCTCTTTTACAGGTACTTTAACGGGCAATGTTCGGTGGATTTGGCATCCTGTGTACCGCCGGCAAAGCCGTGGGCTAGTAACACACGTCTTGCCCGCGGTGCCCACCATTTCACTGTGGATGTCGGTCACACGAGAATAAGCCGTTATAGTACCTTGGGGGGACCAGTGGTAGAAGCGGTACCGTTCTTGCCTCGCAAGCGAGATGTCACGGGTTCGATTCCCGGGCCGGTGGAAGTTGTTTGGACTTATTTCCTAGCCCCCATTAGTCCCTGTTCACCTAGCAGTAAAAGTAGGTACCTGTTGTAAGTCGAAAGTTGCGAATTCGTATTCAGGGAGTTGTTGGAGCTTCCAATAACTTGATGACATAAACCACTGACTCTTCAGGCTTCTACGCCCTTGACTCTTCAGGATTCTCGTGAGACATAAAGGCAAGCATGAACTTAGCATGCTTCCCTGTTGGGCGCTGTAAACGCTTCTGCCCTTCACCTTACACAAGGATGTAGGGGGTGCCCAATAAAAAAAAAAAAGTTATAGTACCTCCTTCTTTCCTCACACAGTCAAACTGTGGAATGCTCTGTTTTCATTTGTGTTTCCATACTTATACAATCTGTCTCACTTTAAAAAGCTGGTTTTCCGGCATCTTCATGGTGTAGATTAACACAGTATAACCCTTTTCTTCTCTATTTTCAATTTCTTTCTGTTCTCCCCCCCCCCTCAGGCCCTCTTGTGGGTCGTTTGACCTGTGTCCAGGTGGGCTAATTCCCGAAAAAAAAATATCTGTTCTAGAGTTTGGCAAAATGATTGCATCCTGAAATGTGTTTGGTGGGAGATCGTCTAATTTGGAAAGTGTAATTAGTAAATATTGAGTATTATTTCTACTGAATTTAACCAAGTTTCTACCTCCCCATTCAGAGATGCTGCGCAGATCCGAATTGATAGATGTAATGATACCAGCTCTAGAAACCCTTCTAGTTTGAGAATTAGGGGGAAGGGAAAATGTGAAGAAGGGTGAAGAGTAAAATCAGCAGCATAAAAATGGATAGAATTAGTCGTAGTGTGAAGTAAATCATTGATAGAAAGAAAGAAGAGAGTAGGTGAAAGAACAGAACCCTGTGGGACACCACTATTGGGAGAGAAGGGGCAAGAGGTAGATCCCTCGACAACAACTGCCATGGATCGGTTCTCAAGGAAGCAAGAATTTATGAGAACAAAGTGGGGGAGAGAGACCATAAGAGGGAAGTTTAGAAAGCAAAGACTTGTGCCATACCCTGTCAATGCTTTGGAGATGTCGAGGGCCACGATGAAAGATTCCCCATAATCCCTAAGAGAGGATGACCAAAGATGGTTACAGTAGGAGAGGAGATCTCCAGTAGATCTCGCTTGGCGAAAACTATAATGATGATCCGACAAAAGAGAAAAGGGTTCAAGGTGACGAAGAAAATTGGAGTTTAGGATAGTTTCTAAAATCTTAGAGAGGGATGAAGTTAGGGCAATAGGGCGATAGTTAGAGGGATTAGAAAAGTCACCCTTCTTCGGATGGGCTGAACCGAGGCATGCTTCCAAGAAGAAGGAAAAGCTTGGGTTTTGAGGCAAAGGCGAAAGAAGCGAGCAAGCACAGGGGCTAGAATTTCAGCACACTATCTATCTATTTATCTATGAGAAGGAGCAACTGTATACTGTAAACACCTATATGTAAGGTATCCGTTTCTATTTCATTTTTATTTTTGAGACTGTAATTTAATAGTAACAGTTCAGAACAAGGGCCTGGGTTAACTAGCCACCTCACACAAAACGTTTATAGAAGAAAATTTGTTTCTTACATTAAGAATCTATGCATTTGGTTGGGGGAATTAAATCGTGTATATTTTGTTTTTGTTTCCTGTTGTTTTTCTGTATGAAGACCAAATGACGCCATTGTTTATTATTGAACTATTGTCAAATCTTTTTACTTACTCATTTATTTTCAATTATACTTTTTATCATTTTTACTTGTGGGAAGCAAATAAAGCTGTCGTTTATTCCACTGTGCTTGAGCAGGAAAATGGAAGAGGAAAACAAATAGTACATAATGTCTATTACAGATTCTTTGTTAAAATGCACACATTTCCATAATGGTACATTATTGTAGGTAGAAGGGAGATAGGCCAAACAGGGAGGTACTACCGCCTGGGAAGATATTGGAAGCATAATGTGTTATCTAATGGTAGATGCTGCTGCCAAAGGGCATCGCGAAAATTGTGACCAAGTCCAAGGTTGCTAATCTGACTTTCTGCCTCATTTGCACACAATTGCGGGGTCTCAATTGCTTCTTTTAACATTGACAACACAACACATAAATATTGTTTCTCACTCTTGATCTTTTTTTTTATTTCTTTATGGTTCTTTATTATTATTATTATTATTATTATTATTATTATTATTATTATTATTATTATTATTATTATTATTATTATTATTATTATTATTATTATTATTATTATTATTATTATTATTATTATATTATTATTATTGCAGTATTATTATTATTATTATTATTATTATTATTATTGCAGTGTTATTGTTATCATTATTATTTTGTTATTATTTTTTTGTATTTTTTTAAATTTTACTTACCTGAATTATTATAATTATTATTATTATTATTATTATTATTATTATTATTATTATTATTACTACTACAGTACTACGTTTTCGCCCCCCCCCCCAGGCTCCGATGTGGGTCAGTGATCTCTGCCCGGGGGGGCTAATCCCCGTAAAAAAAAAGTTTTTATATATATATATATATATATATATATAATAAAAAAGAACATAGTGCACTTGATCCGGTCTGGGGTAAATATAGCTTGCTTACTTTCAATACGTGGATCCCATAGGACTAGAAAATGTGCTGTGAACCCCCATTTGTGAAACTCTGTTGTAGTGCATAACTAGAAGGTCTTGCATGAATCTTCAGTTCTTTCAGTAAAAATTATAAATAACTAGCCATCTTGCTTTAGTAACCATTACTATTATATTGTCTGAAGAGATAATTGTCTGGTTATACAATATATGGACCTTATGTCATCATCCAAGATGAAATGCTGAGTGAAGCAGTTGAAGTTGAACCATGTTTGTGATATTGTCAGTGGTTTTATGTCTTGGAACCATCTAGGTAATAGAGGCAGTGAATATAATTTTCTAATAAACAGGTATAACCTGGTGTAAGCGGTCAGGAAAAAAAATTTGTTTCTTTACAGTTGTGTCCAACCCGACTCTCACACCCTCTCTCACTACATCCTCACTTGCCCTATGACCTCCTCCTACAGGTCCCCAGCCGTTACCAACACCTCTTCCCTCCCAGACCAGATATCCCTCCTCCTAGTCACAGGCCTGGCATTTGACATTATTAGGGACCTGCCACTCTTTGCCATAAACAGATAAAATGTACCGGGAACTTTCCCCCCACACACTCATCATTCTCTCACTTTATGTAACTTGACAGAACCTATGACCCTTCAGGCTTTTACGCCCTTAATGTACGAGTCATAAAGGCAAGTATGAACTTTTCATACTTCCCTGTTGGGCGCTGTAAACGCTTCTGCGCTTCACCTTGCACAGGATGTAAGGGGGTGCCCAATAAACTAGCCCCCTCGGTGGCAAATCTGAAATCTGAATCTTTACAGTTCTGTGAAACCTGATGGAAACTAATCATTTAGGTCATGTTTGCTCGCTTATTGTCATTCTAGGACCAGGTTTCATCCTTTCTGAATTGTGTGTGATATTCCAGAAAATATAATTCACCTAGTGATTCCTCTGTATGGCCCCTGGCACTAATCCCATTAATGTCATGTTGTTCTTTCTCCTCCCACAGGCAGACTTTTAGTATTCATATACCATATATAGGAGTAATATTAATTATTGGTGGTATTTTCTTTGTGCTTCAAATTCAGAAACCAAAGATTTAAGTGACTCCATGCTAGTAATATTTGGTAAAAGTGGAACATAATAGTAATAGTTCAAACGACTTGATGTTAGTTTAATAGTTTATTTATACATAAACATTAACTGCGGTCAGACTTTTTCAGTAGACTTAATAAGACATATAAAGGTACTGTACTGAGTAGCTATAACACGGAAATTTCAGGTGCGTAGAACAATGGCTGGAAACTTTCCGGCTGAACATTGCTATTACTCGGGCTTATTTAAAAATGTATAAAACAAAACAAAAATTAATTGTCAGGTTCAACTGCATAGGTTGGTGGTCAGCTTGACGACTTCCCTGTCAGTGGTGATGATGATCAGTGGCAACTTCTCATAGCCTTGTCAGTACCGATGAGTATGAGCTTGTGACACAGACTCAGTACATGTGGCTAAGTCGTCACAGTTGCGCTGGGTGTTGAGATGTGACGTGACGATGTGGAGGACTATGAGACTCCGTCACCACTGCGTTTGTTGACATAAAGTTCCAGACAGAAGGTGACCAGAGCCAGCAGAAGTCCTGCGCCCAGCACCACCAACATCCCCTGAATATATAAAAGGAAAATGAGCATTATATATATATATATATATATATATATATATATATATATAAAGGCAAATAATTATTTCACCCTTTAATAAGCACTACCAAGTAAAAATGCTTTAAATATCCATGAAAATATTCATACCCTAAATATTTTCTTTTTGTTCTTATGCGGAAACAAGACCAGTTGTCTCTCCGTTCACAGCCTTTAAAGTTTGTTATGATAATGAAGCTAAGAAAATACTGCATTTACCCAGAGGTTGTTGATGGCGAGAGATTCCCTCTCTGTGATGATGGAGGGCGCATGGCGACACACGGTGGAGAAGGGGATACTGCTCATCAACCAGTGGTCGTACAGCCCAGACTCCAGTATGGCCCTCACCCTGACACGGTAAACACTCGTTACCTCTTATTCTTACAGACAAATTGTGACATATTCTAAAGACTTAATTTAGGGAGACATAATTAGAAGAAACGACCAGGTTCCTCTGCCAACCTCAACTGAGAAACACCACACAATGTCTCCAGCAGACAGATATATGAATAGAGGCCATATATTTTATGATTTTATTTGTTTTGTCATCTTCACCACTGATCGGTTTGTTAGCCACTTGGGTGATCGGTCACGTCTCTGTTACGCACTGTTGCCAAGTACTGGGCATGCACCGGCTCCTGAATGTACCTGAACCTGCTCCAGTGTTGGTCAAGTTTTGTCTTGAAAGAGCTCACACTCGGTGCCGTCACAACACTTTCTGGTAGATTGTTCCAAGAGTTCACAACTCTCACTCCGATAAAGTTTGCCCTCACAGTTTTCTGGACATGCGGCTTCTTCAATCTTGAGCTGTGACCCCTTGTGGGGCGAGCGTCCGCCAGCTCCAAGTAAGGACACTCGACTGAGTAGTGCCCCCTGAGATGCTTATACACCTCAATTAGGTAACCCCTTGCCCGTCTGTAGTATAAGTTAGGCAAGTTCAGACGCTCCAATCTCTCAGTGTAGCTGAGGTGCCGAAGTGCAGGCACCAGTCTGGTGGCCCTCCTTTGAGCATTTTCAACCAACTGACAGTCTTTAGCATATCTCGGGGACCAGACGGGGTGACAGTACTCCAGATGGGGAAGCACTTCACTCTTGAAGATCGTTACGAGGGACGGACCGTCTAGATATCTGAACGACCTTCTTATAAGACCCAATAATTTATTTGCCCGATTTACCTTCTTCTCGCAATGGCCCGAGAACTTCACCTCATTGTCAACATACACACTTAGGTCCTTCTCACATTCAGTCTCAAATAGTGCAGTTTTTTCATCTCGTTGGGACATATGATACGCCTCCTTACCGTTGGTACGCCCCAGGTGCATCCTCTTACACTTCGTGACATTGAAATCTCAGCAGCCATTTCTTCGACCATTCTTGGAGCCCACAGAGGTCCTTCTGCAGCTCTTCACAGTAGGCTTGGTTCTTAATTTCCCGAAATAACTTGGCGTCATCTGCAAACATTTGCATGGAGGAGTGTCCAACGTCAGGCATGTCATTTATGAAACAAACAAACAACACCGGGCCCAATATACCTGTCATCGTCCTTCGACAGAAACACCAAACCAAACTTCAAACTTTATGTGATGTGAATGTAAAAAAAAAAATATTCCCTGAAGGTTCTCCTCTCCTGGTAATAGATTCCTTGTCATTCACCAAAAAAATTAATTTCTCTATGAATATTTTTACTCCTACGGTTATTACAGAGGAAATATTAAAAGAGCTCCTCTTTATTAGTTCTGGAAATAATTTATCGTCAACTCTTCATTAAAGTCACGAACTTTGTCGTATACTTGGTAAAAGCTAAGAATCCCACAGAACTCCAGACTTAATAGTAAGTTTAATGTTTGAAAATTAGTGGAGGACTAATGCTGTTGAAAATGATCACCTGCTTTGGAAACAGAAACCTCGCATCTCACCGAATTTCCGAGCACTGCCTCTGTATAGCTATGAAGGTCTTTACCTATAACTCATGGCACGAACAAGTAGGTTTCCTTTGAGTGCGACGATACAGTGGGTGAGGGGGAAAAAGGACTCTCTCATCTTATAGAAGTCACATCGTCCTGCAACAAATGGAATATACATGAATTCTGTTAGCTAACACCGTACGAGACTTATAAGATGCTATTTTTTATTCTTCCTAAACAAAAGAACAAAAACAAAATAAAAACAGGACAAATGGAGTTTTTGTCTTATGTACAGATGGTATATTACTATCGGCCTGTTATCGGAGAACATATATCAAAGAAAATGATCACCTGTTTTTGCGAAGTAGTTGGCAGCGAGTCGGTCAAGAGCGAGGCCAGGGCTGAAGAGGACGTGGTGACCCTTGGTGACCAGCTTCTCCATCACGTCCGGGAAGGTTTTTGATAACTGGTATTTGACCCGACCCACCTTGTATAGATTTCCCAACTCCTGCAACTCACCACTCTTCACTGTCTGTGACCAACACACTATTATTATAATTATTAACACTGTACACGATTCTGGAGAAGCAAAGAATAAGAAGTTAAAGTAAAAGCAGTAGGGAGAGTAAAGGAATTTTATAGGAGAGTATTTAGCCCATCCTATACTCATATGATGTGTAAAGACAACTTTAATGTTATAACGACTTCAAGTCAGGAATGTTTGGAGGACAGAACTCACTACTGGATCATTCTGTACTATGTCATGTTTTGTCGTGATGATGAATGTTAAGAAAGGACTTTTCATATGGCCGAAGAAGACCTATAATGTCGTTGGCACAGCCGACAAAGGTGTCCTAGGGTTTGATCACAATAATTATGTTGATTAACTTCAGGAACTCACGAGAAGGAAATCAATAAAAACGTCGTTGCGCGTCATGATCAGAGTGACGGAGGAGTCGAGCAGGTTCCTGAGGGTCTGCAACGGCTTGGAGATGTATCGCACCGCCAGTAGAGAGACCAAGTTGCCACTGTAGCTCCACATCACCATCATCGTCACAACCATCCACCCCAACACCAACAACATTTCACTACCACGTCGCTGCCCCAAGCGCAAGTCTGCATAGATGCGAAACAAATGATATGACATTGAACGATAAACGATTTTTTTTATTTGTGATAATTTATAATTAGACATTATTTATATTACACAATATGTATAGTTTTTTCGTATTTAATATCTCATAATTGGATTCCTGTCCAATGTAGTCATAAAACAAACACATAAAAGTTTTTAAAAATTATGAAACAATATATAAACCGTCTTTGCAAAGAAAAAAAATCGATATTTTTAAAAAAAGGGAAAATTTAAAGGATCCTTAAAAGCTTAAACCACCGAACCTTTGCAAATAGAAGATTCTCCAAAACAGTATGATATGTATCAAAGTTTAGCACATATAGGAACACTGTAACTCACCTTGACGAAGGGCTACTCTTAGATGTTCTAGAAATAAGTCAGTGATCCATGTGAAGCGTCCAACACTCTTTTTATTATTGTTGCTGCCAAGCACCACCATTGCCAACCAAGCTATCACCAGGGATGCCAACAGTGCCGTCCAAACCACGGAATCCAGCGGAAACAGGAATCCCCACGGGTCGATTTCTGGTTGGCCTTTTCCCGCAACACATTGTAGAACATCAGAGTATAATGAATCAGTAAATTCGAGGTATTTATTCCTGTCCTCGGTGCGGGTATATGGTGCTAGAGCAATATCCGCTTCCTGTGGGGATATATAAATATAAGTATAAATATAAATATATATATATATATATATATATATATATATATATATATATATATATATATATATATATATATATATATAAATAATAATAATAATAAACGGTTTATTAATAGAGTTGCAGCCGGTGGCTGAAAATATACAGACTTACATTTGATTTAGACATAATGATATAATATGCATTGAATACAATTACAGAGCTGTACAGCACATAAATCAGGAGTTATTTATTATTTTAACAATAGATGGGATGGTGCTGTTCTTATATCTATTGGTGCGGGCTCTTATGGGCTGGATTTTGTTGTAGTGGCGGACTGTGCGAGTTGGGTGGGGGGCTACAGGTGGGAGGAGGTGGCGATGGCGAGGGTGGTGCAGTAGTCCACGGCCAAACCTTTCCAGTGCTTGGTGGTGGAGGTCACTGAGGGATGGCATTTCCAGGGTGGAGAGAGCGTTGGTGTAGCCGGAGTATTCTGCGCCGAGCATGATTCTGCAGGCCCTTTTCTGTACCTTCTCTAGCTGACGTTGTTGGGTAGAGTTGAGAGAAGACGACCAGGCTGGTGACGCATACGTTAGTTTGGGGAGAATAAAGACATTGTAGATGGTCCTCAGCTCTGGCGTGGGTGTCCCAAGTGACCTAAGTCTTCGTAGCATGTAGAGACGGTACGAGGCTGCCTTGACTGTGTTATTTACATGGGCCTTCCAGTCAAGTTTGTTGTCTATAGTTACACCCAGGAGTGTGGCAGACTGCACCAGCTGGAGAGGATGGGCACCCACTGTGACTGCTGGGGCTTGCACTGGAGTAGTGGCGGTATTGATGTGCATGACTACGGTTTTGGTGTGGTTGATGGTGACCTTGTTCTCCGTAGTCCATGCCTGTAGCCTGTCCAGGGTGCCTTGGAGCGATGAGTAGTCTGGTGCTGTGTTGTCCACTGAAACCCCCACAGTGCAGTCATCCACGTACTTCCACCTGTGAGGAGTGTCCGATAGAGCGTCGTTGGTCAGGGTGAGGAAGCACAGTGGTCCCATCTTGGTCCCCTGGGGAACACGGCAGGTGAGGTGTTGGAATGTAGAGACCAAGCCCTGATACTTCACTGCTTGGCGACGTCCACTCAAGAAATAAGTGAGCCATGAGACGAGGTTGGTTGGCAGCCCTAGTGCAATAGCCTTGTTGATAACAGTGCAGTGATCAACAAGGTCAAAGGCCTTCCTGAAGTCCACAAGGGCAACGGCCAGTGATGTCTTGCGTTTCTGCAAGTTTTTGTGCAGAAAATCCAGAAGGCTCACCAAGCAGTGTGATGTAGAGGAGGTCCTCATATTGCCAAATTGCTGTGAATCAATTGACTGATATATACTTGCAAATGCCCACTCAAAAACAAAGTCCTCACAAAGTAGACTGGGTATGGGGGTAATGGCAACTGGCCTGAGGTCGTTAGGGGACTGTGGGGTGGTGACCTTGGGGATGGGGGTGACAAATGCGGTTTTCCATTCATTAGGGCATTTGCTTTGTCTGAGGGATGCATTAATAATAGAACAGAGGGGGGTGGCAAGTTCGACTGCAAACTCCTTGTATATTTTGATTGGGAGGTCAATTGGGGTCGTGGAGTGTTTGAATATATATATATATATATATATATATATATATATATATATATATATATATATACACAGTATATATGCATATATATATATGCATAAATATATATATATATATATATATATATATATATATATATATATATATATATATATATATATATATATATATATATACAATATATATGCATATATATATATATCATGTAGATCCACAATGAAAACGTGGATTGGGCATTTTGTTGAACAGAAATAGGCTAGATACTCTTCCTTATTTATTTAACATAAGCATTTTCGGCTAGATATAACTCTTCCTTGTTGTTAACATAAAACATTTTCCCCCAAATCTGAAAACAATATAATATTGGAAGATAGGATAATATACCCATGCAGGGGAGAGAGTTGCCAGCAGCTAGAGAAGATTGGAAAATTACACTCCCATTATAAAGAGACACGGAGATTATTCTCCAACAAGAATAAAAAGCTGGACACTAGGTTGACTAATGTCCCAAAACATCATTCCGCAATGGTTTAACCTCTGTGTGCAGGCTCCCCTACAGGATGAATAAAATCGTCTAGCGTTAGCCAAATAAAGTAAAATGCCGCCCCGTTGTGAAGAGTTAAGGTGTAAAATGGTCTACTAAAAATATTTGGCCAATACTTACCTTCCTTCGGATGTGACCTGTCATGCCAATTGAGTCCCATTGTCCATCTTGTATCCGTATGTTTGTCAACAGGTCTGATCAGATGGTATATGAACCACACAAACACTTACTATCAACTTAATTATGTGCAAGTAGCATTATAGCTAAAAGCAAGAGACATTAATATTCTTATAATCTGCCCTTAACCATCACTATATCTATATATGATTTTTTTATGGAAACCATTAAATTGTGTGTTGGCATCTATATTCTTACTTTTTGTTACTTGAGTAAGCTAGTTAGATACTTCCTTCAAATCTATATATCAGAAAAATTATCCACTAAATAAGAGATGAAATGCTTATTTCAGAAATTGACTCGTAAAGTTGAGTGAGCTCATATAACGTAGATTACGGTAATATGAGGTCCCGATACACTGAGGCTGCCATCATCCTGTTCCTTTACGTGAGGTGGGGCACAGCCGCTCCACCTACGTCAGCACCACCTCCCCTCCTCCGTGGTCCTGCCATCACACCACACGTGGTTTTATTGGGTTGTTTATCTAAACGACGGTATACTTACTATTATTACCTTTATTGTGGAACTTCTTCGACGACAACATTTTGGTGAAATTTTCATATGCTTCGTCGTACCCATCATAATATAAATCTTTAACTCTCCTACAACCGTGTCATCAACAGCTCTTCAACCCTATGTTGTATTTTTCATTCTTTTCAGCGTTCCTTGCCACCAAATTGAGCTTTAAATTAATCGAATTTGGACCATTAAACATATCGAGGAACATGATGGCTTTATTTCTCTAATTTGAAACACTTCTGTTCCATATGGAGATAATGATATTTATAGTGCATCTATTGATAATATATAATAACATGTTATCATGATGCCATATATCTTCTTTGACTTTTCCCAGTGTCCAAAGCTAAATACTCTCCCTTAATATTAGTTACTGTCAGTCTTCAGAAAAACGTTGGTTTCATGTACAGTATAGCGTCTACCTCTATGATGCTACAATGGTGTGTTGGGATGCCCCAGGAAATGGGACTTGAAAGGTGTAAGGAGCGACTGTAAGGATGACTGTGACATCAGTACCCTGTCAAGTGAATAGATGACCTAGAGGAAACACTAAAGCTGGGAAACCAATAAAGACAGCCTCACTACACAGGTAAAAGCAGGACAGCGATAATAGCAAGACATTAAACCTCATAATATGTCATATCACACGTACACAGCAGTTTGTGATGTAGACTCTCCTCCTTGAGGATACAACGGGAGAAGATTTATGTGTGAACATAACGCTGAACAACCATGAAACCTGGTACCCTCCAGCAATTACTTCGTAAAAATAATTTTTTGGACTTCTGAATTGTAAGTGAACCCTTCTAGACCCCACCATCTTCATGGTGGATGAATGTATTCGGCTGACGTCTGAAGGGCCATTTGAAAAATTACCTGAAGGCCATCCCACCTAGAAGGTAGCTCGTGTTCTTGATAGTCTGGCCAGGGGCTGATTTGTTCTTATTTACACAGCAGACGGTAGACTGTTCTATGGGTCTACTGCCCTCTGCTCTTAGATTTTCCCTAATATTCCTCTTATTTGCCTATATGGCCCCAGATTTGTGTCCTGTTGTTGTGTTATTAGACCAGACGTAACGAAAACTTTATCTAGTTGCCTCTTCCACCTCGTTCACAATTTGAATGTCTAAGATTCATTCTGTATCTTATCTGAAGGACATCGAGTCCTAGGCCTAAAGCTACATGGAAATCGAGATGATTTTAGTTCAAGGGAATTGACCCCTTATCGCTCTGTGTTGAACGTCTTCTGGAGATGTCCTAGATTTATGAAGAAGAATATGGTATCCATTCTGTATACTGATAGTCCAGAGAGGAGACACCGAAAGATGAAACTTAAAGGAATTTTTTCCTTTGTATTATTTGATTGTACGACTTATAATTCCCTAAGTTTTGTTAGATGAAAGATATTTACTTTTACTTACAACAGAGTATTAGGGAGATGATGTTAGATGGAGTATTGTTACCTGAAAGGTCCTGGGGTGGTGTTGTAGGCCACGGATTATCTGGGTCCTCAGGACTCCTGAAGCGTTTGAACCATCCTCCTGGCTTTGCCTCTTAACACTACTTCTTCGCAACAGTCTGAGTAAGAGTCTCAGTCTTCTCCCACCCTGTCTACCTAGCTCTGTCTCATAATGACCGGCAACCTTAGTAAATTATAATGATTTAATACTGAGATTATAAATAACTGTTAATATGTTTGTTAAGCTATTGCATTGTTTTCAAATTTCAGATATCTCTTAGTTTTTCACTTACATTGTGAAATTTTTTCAAAATAATGATGAATAAGAAAAATAAGTTAAACATTTTGCATCGGACGAGGCTCACGAAATGTTTAGTGTTCAGTTATGTTAAGGTCAGCAACTAATGGTGTAACGCAGCTAGATCGTTTATAATAGGTATAGTCATAACCGAACAATTTATTAAATTTATCACTGGCTAACTGCTACTGCTTGCTGGTCATATGGTCAGCGTAAGATTAGCTAGTGTTAATACTCTCCCAATACCACAATTTTCCGGCCGTATGCGGCCCGAAAATTGAACATATCTATGACAACAATTGACGTCTAAATTTCGGGCAATGTGGCCGGTAAGACATTATTATTCCTTATATTTTGATTATAAAATAAAGGCAGGAAATTAAGGAAATAAACGAGAAACCAGATATATTTCCCAATTTACTTCACACAATACTTAACTAGGCTAGTGACTAATTATACTAATATTTCAATGTAGAATATGTCTATACTGAAAATGAAAGGTTTGTTTAGTTTTTAAATACTGGTGTTGTTTAAAAATGCTGATAATGAGAATACTCCGTAAGCGTGTTACCAGTTTTACATTTAGTCTGTGGAACGCGGTGCTGATTTTATGTTGACTTAGTACACCGCAAGCCGTCCTGATTACTTTACATCTTCCGACGGCCGACTGGTGTACAAGGTTGCAGACCCCTGATCTATGAACCGTTCCCGGATAAGAGATGAAACATAGCCACGGAATTCTCCAAAAATTTAGGCTATTGAATGTCATAATAAAAACGAAACTACTTTCTAACTATAACACAATGAAATCAATTTCATGGGCGATAATTCAGATTGAGTATTACAGCAAGTCATAATGATGGTAATACTCTAGATGCCTTACTATATTGCTACTGTGTAGGGCACCAATAATAAATACTAACTTATTCGTTTGGCAAAGTACAATTTTATTGTAATGCCCCCGCTATTCTTTAATTGGAATATCAGAGATTATGAACAAAAATCTTGTTTTTAAGTTCTACAATACTTCTGCTGGCATTAACAATGAAAAACTAGGGACTGTGGCTACTTGTGACAGTTCTCATAATAATAATAATAATAATAATAATAATAATAATAAGCGTATAATAATATGTGTGTATATGTAAAAATAATCATCATAATCATAATCATAATCATAATAGTAAATAATAATAATAATGTAATAATAATAATAATAATAATAAATAATAATAATAATTAGTAAATTAAAATTATAGTAATGATAATAGTTGGAATTTTATTTTAACATAATTGTGAGTTTTAATAATGATATTGATAATAAGTTTTAATTACTAAAATTTATTAACAATATCATTATTAAAAGCTTATGACTAGTAACAATAATGCAAACCTACTACTAATAATAATATAGTTTTTCACCCAATAAACGGGGTTTATTTCATAGAGCTCTTCACCAATTTAATTCCAATACCAAGTATAGTTTCTATTGAATTTAATTCCAAGATTAATGTATATAAAATATTCAAGGTATATTAATTTTGCAAGCTTAAAATAGTCTGTCTCAACATAAACCTATTTTGCCTAAACCTGGAATTGGGTACAGATTTGCTCCCCGAGGGGCTAGTTTATTAGGCACCCCTTACATCCTGTGCACAAGGTGTAGGCTGAAGCGTTTACGGCCTTAATAGGGAAGTATGAAAAGTTCATACGCATGACATCGTACGTGGGGCGTAAAGCCTGAAGGGTCATGGGGTTCTGTCAAGTTACATAAAGTGAAGATGATGAGAGTAGCAGGGGAAAGTTCCCAGTACATTTGTCTGTATGACAGGTGGCGGGTCCTAATAATGTCAAATGCCAGGCCTGTGACTAGGAGGATATCTGGTCACAGAACAACTAATTGCCCATTGTCTGGATGCATATATATATATATTTTTTTGCAGCAATTTACTGCAAATTTTACTTTGGGAATTGTTACATTTCTACCGTTAAGGCAATTGGAATTCGTCCTCAGGGTATGCAGACCCTTCCTAGCATAATCTATGACTAAATGCATGCCTAACATGAAGGGGAAAAATCACGGGCACGTTACTGTTCTTCACTTTGCAAATTCATATTGAAGAACAAGCTAATATTTTCTTGTATATTTTTACCGTAGTTACCAGTGACTTGTGATTTATGGTACCCTCCATCATCACCCCTCTGGCGTGGTAGCAGCTCGCCTGCTACGGCCAAATAAGGTAATATTCCTCAGTAAACATCAGTGTTGGCCTCAGTTGCTGAGCCCGAAATATCAAGGAAGGCGATGGAACTGGCATGACATGCGCCTCTTTTGTCGCACATATCAAGAAAATTTGTGACTTAAATTTTTGTTTTCTTCATTTGATAATGTTCACAATGGGCACACATTTGTCACCACGTTTGGTGTCCGTTTGCGCGTCATCGAGGATCAATGTTTAGTGCGAAACGAGAAAACGCAGCAAATGGCAGGTAATTACAATATAGTAATATTATATTAATAACATTACATTAATTATCCAATTACAGCTCAGCAGCTATTTATTATATTATAATTTAATTACTAACATTAAGTATGTTTTTGAGAAGAGTAATTGTTGTATAGTGGAAATAGGAAACCGTCCGATAATAATAGTATCGAGTTTTGTTTGCTGTTGAATAACGACGTCGACA